CTCTTGGTGTAGTTATTGAACAGTTGTATTGTATTGAGCAGCTGTAGACTAAAAGAATAGACTGATTTCTCAGCTATCTTGATGAGAAAATACTCACATCCAGGGAATTCTCAATAAAGTTCCTGAATTCAGAATAGGAACAGAAAGTCACAAAATCATTAGGCATAAAGAAAAGATCTCTTCTCAAAGAAAAAGACTCAGACTGGCATTGGTTGGCTTGCATGTGAAAGTGAAAGCTGACAGAGTTGACATTGTAGATTCCTGTGACCTGCAAGCCACACTCTTATACCCAGCCAAGATATCCCGTCCCACATAGGAGAAAGAAACTTAAATAATATCCAAGAATTCAGAGAATATACAACTAAGTAACCCTAACTGAGGAATTTGCTCAAGGAAATACTCCAAACAAACCCTAATAGATGTCAAGATAGGGCAAGAGGGAGATAAAAAGGAGCTGGAGTGGAGCAATGAAACTTGAGACTTACATTTATAATCTATCCATGATCATCTAAGTAACTAAGGATGGACTGGGAGGAAATATGAAATGTAAGTGGACTACAGAAATACAAGAGCATTATTTCAGAGGTAATTTAGCAATATGAAAACAAAAGTACCAAATCATCTCAGAAAAAATGGAATTGGAACAAAAGGGTGGTAACTGAAATTATTTAATAACTTTCAACTTAAGGTCTGGGGATAAGAGAGAAAAAATACATATTAAAAATTCCAGCGGTCTTATGGAGGAGATGTGAGGAACAAAAATTAATTGTGAGCTGGGTGCTGGTGACTCATAATCCAATATCTGTAATCCTAGCTACTCAGGAGGCTGAGATCTGAGGATCATGGTTCAAAGCCAGTCTAGGCAGAAAAGTCCATGAGACTCTGATCTCCAATAAACTACTCAGAAAAAGCCAGAAGTGTCACTGTGGCTCAAGTGGTAGAGTGCTAGCCTTGAGCACAAAGAAGCTCGGGACAATACCCAGGCCTGAGTTCAAGCCCCAGAACAAGGAAAAAAAAATTAGTTGTAGCCTAATTGTTGGGCACTTTCAGGAAGTAATCTGGGGAGGTGGCTTAGTGGTCCAGCACTTACCCACAGTGAGAACTTAAGCCTCCCTCCTTTCCTTCTGTCTGAGGGCTTTGCCTGATGGCTCAGGCCTTTAATCACTCCCTCATCCTGTGGATTAGCACACCAAACAACACGAAACTGCAACGATTGCAAAATGTAGTAGTTTAGCCAAGCCAAGGAGTCTAAGGGCATTTTCCATTGCTTGTGTTTTCTTTTAATGAATTTCCAGTATTCAGACAGTACAGATTTTCACAAGATTTAGAAAAGGACAAAGGAATTAGCAGTCTCACCTCAGAGAATTAAAACAAATGGCTCTGAGTCATTTGAGCTAAGGAGGCAATCACTTGTCATAGTATTTTGGTGGGAATGGCCATTTTTTGGCATGCCTGGATTTTACTGAAATGGTGGACACAAGATCCAAAGAGCACCTTTTCATTTTTTTAACCTTATGAGATGAAATTTTAAGTCTAATTCAATCATCCAGTTTTTTTTGTGCTGACAGTAAAATTATTTCCTATAATTTATCATAAGGATAAACTAAAAATAACTAAAATTTTGAGCTAGAATTGATTAAATAAATTTTAGTAGTGTCTTCCAATTTTGTTAAAATAGCAAATCCCCTGAAAAGTGGTTTAGTATAGAGTGTTAAAACACATTGTAGATATGTTCTAAGTATTTTATTTTAACTTAAAACACTTATATATGGTTTCATTTGAAAATACTTCATGTGACACCAATGAATGGTTGAAAATCTCCAATGAACTTCATCCATAACACATTATCTACAGTGACAATTTTAGCCCTCTTAAATGAGGGATGAAATTAGGACTTTTACAAAAAACACACGAGTATAGAATCTTTCAAAGACATTTTATATATTTGTTGATTCCTAATTGTCATAAATAAATCTACTCATAGTTCAATATAAAATTTATTTTAAATGCTATAGATACAACTGAGTATGGAAAATAGTTAAAAAGAAGTCATTGCAAAATAATAAGAAGTGTACATATTAGTTTCTGTTCAAGTCCTTGGCACAACATCTTAATAGGCCTTAGGGGAAACATAAGTAAATCTTGGCAAACATTGGTCTTTAGACTTTGACACAGGAGTACTGGGGCATGGTGGAAAGTTGCCTTCTAGGCAAGAGTATAAAGATTATTGTGGGCATGACTCAGGATGCTCACAAAGTAAATACAAAGCAGAATGCAGGGTGTGTAGCAAAGCTAACCAGAGGCCTTGATCAACCCAGTTCCCTGAACATCATCATGTGATAAGAAGACCTAGGGTGGAACCTGAGAATGTGTATTGATGGTACCTTTCCAGGTGAGGCTAAGGCTGTAGGTTGGGGAAAATATTCTGGGATGCATGGGTGTAGACCAGTCCTACCAATTGGCACATTGAAATTTGTCATGAGGGAATTCTGCACAATCCTGCTGCCATTTAGCAAATGAATGCTGTCATTTAAACAGGAAAAAGCCTGCCTGGATTGTCACCAAACACCTTTTTCCATGCTGTATAGTTAGCCTTCCATATCTGTGAACTCCACATCCAAGCATTCAACCAAAATAATGGATTAAAAATATGTGGAAAAGTCGAACTCTGGTGGCTCATGCCTGTAATCCTAGCTTCTCAGAGGCTGAGATCTGAAGCTTGTGGTTTAAAGCCATCCCAGGCAGAAAAGTCCCCATGAGACTTTTATCTCCAGTGGAAGTGGCTTGTGGCTCAAAGTTGTAGAGCCTTGAGCAAAAAAGCTTGGAGACAGTGCCTAGGCCTTGAGTTCAAGCCCCATGACCAACAAAAAAAATCTGGAAAAAGTATTGCATCTGATCTGAACTGAGCATATACAGACTTTCGTTTTTGGTTATTATTCTGTTATCAGTACAGTACAACAATTGTTCACATAGTATTTACACTGGATTAGGGGTTCTAAGCAATTTAAAGATGCTTTAAAATATGTCATTTTCTATAAAGGCCTTTCTTAAACATCTCTAAATTCTGGGATCAGCAAAGGTGTACAGAAACCACACCTTCCATGGCTACTGAAGGAGGACTATATTGTGCTCAGTTTGGTAGTTGAGTTATATTAACACAGAGCAGAAATGTATGTATTAACTACCACAAATTAGTAGCAGTTGAATTGCTGCTTTCATGACTGCAGAATTTGGAAAGATCCTATTTTCTGCTTAAAATAGCGAATCACTTGATTTTTATGACTGTCATTTCTTATTTCTAAATAACGGGAGAAAAATGTCCCCTTTAATTGCAACCAGTTCTTTCTGAACATGGCTAGTCTTTATTGCTGATCAATGAGCCAATGAATAAAAGGATATGGCATTTACCCCCCCCCCCCCCACACACACACATACTTTATTTTGTGGGCCTTTGAGGTACAACTGAACCCTCGGTGAGTTGAATAAAAGCTGCCATGAAAGGAGTTGAACTTCTAGAACAGGATGAGAATTAGGGGTAGATTTGCAAAACCAGCTGCATCAGCCCTTGCATATTCCACAGCACTCACAAGTTTCCCAAGAGGGGTGTCAAGAAGGAGGAGGGCAGAGCAAAGCGAGCTTCTGCTATCTGAGGTTCTAGGAGTCTGCTTTGGTGTGGAAGATGTTCATGTTTGTTATAGTTTGTATCTGGAATTTGTTCCAAAGGCTTGTGTGTTAAGAGCTGGTCCCTAATTGGTGGTAATATTGAGAGGTGATGGGAATTACCAGGCAAGTAGGTCATCAGAGAATATTGGGACACATTCTGCTTCTTCTCTCCCTTCCTTTGGCTTTGGCGCCATGAGATAAGGTGATCTTCCCTGCCACGCCTCCTCAGCCCATCACAGGCCTGAGTGAGGGCCCATCATGGACTGAAATCTCAGAAGCCATCGGCCAGAATAAATGTTTTTTCCTTTTCAATTCCTTATCACCAAGTATGTTGTCACAGCAGTGGAAAAGCCAATTGACACAACTTCATTGTACTTGTCAGTGTCTTCAAACATACATAGTAACACACGGTATGACTCTAACTATGGAAGCTGTTCACAACATAATGGGGAAAGGACATAGTGTTGTAGCATTCTTGCATCATCTATATGTGTTACTGAGAATGATACTGTAGAAATAGATTCATTTGCATGGAATTATTGGTTGAAACAAAGGCAAAATACAAAACATTTTAGGTTGTACAAGTTCCTTTTTATAAAGGAATAAGTCATTGAAACACACGTAACAAAATTTTTGCCAGTAATCATCCCAGAGGGAGAGAAGAACACAACGTTCCTGGTGTTCTATGCCTCTTAGAATTTTCAGAAGTTTCTATTAATTCTTTGTCATGTGATTAAAAAACAAAGTAGCGACTGTTTTTCTTTTAGTGGTACTAGTATTTGGAATTCAGGCCCTTACATTAGCTTAGCAGGCATTCTAGCCATTGAGCCATATTTCCAGTCCTTCAGTGATTTTCCTTGTCCTTGGCAAAAATAAATAATTTAAGTAAAGAAATAAACCTAAGTACTTAGCCTAGGAAGCATACACATTATTATAAAGCACAATACAAATCCATGCAATTTGTCACCAAGGTCTTTCAACAGACCCCAGTCAAGGGTCAAGCATGAAAACAGATTTCATTTGGCACACACATGTTCATGTAAGATAGATGGAACTCCTAAAGCTATCTAAATTATGTTGAAAGCTGGATTAAGGGAAAATGCCAACGTTATAATATCAAAGCTGGGTAAATGGATCTTCTATTTTTCTTTCTTGTTGTGAGTAAAATCATTTTAAGGACTCAACTAACCCAAGGCCTCTGCAGTTGCCACAACCATCCCTAAGCCCACAGCAGAAATCTCAGTGCATGATTTCCCAATCAAAGGACCTGGGACAGATTTAAAAGTCACAGCTGGGTAGGAGGAAGGTCTTTTTTGTGAATCACAAAACCCGGCTTCTTAGAAAATGTCTTCCTCTCGGTTGTAGGACATATCTGACTCCACCACACCCAAACCTTCATAGTTGTAGCTCCTGGGAATCAGGGCTGTGTCTGTTGTACTCTTCTTCTTCTTCAAGGGCCCTCGTCCTTCGGGGTCACATGCTTCAAATGGGACAGAACTCCCAGTTGCCAATCCTGTGGCAAATGGAACCACAGCCTCTCCCAGGTCAGCCGTATCTGAACGATTTGCTGGAGGCAAAAGTCGGAGGTCACTCCGTAGCCGTTTTCTGATTTCTTCTTCTTTTGTCTGAAAAGTAGTATTCAAGAAAGAAAAACGATCCTGAGTGACTTGCTATCGGTTCTTGTTACTATTACTTGTGTTGATCTATTCAGACCTTTTAAATTTCATTATTCAGTTGTGTAACAATGCTTCTTAAACTATATCTATCTATCTATCTATCCATCCATCCATCCATCTATCTATCTATCTCTCAAACGTTTATTTGTTGAGGAATACCCATTGCAGGTGTCAGACACAAGTTCTACCCTGTGCCTGTCTCTCCTGCTCTTTGCCTCAATGAAACTTTCCTTTTTGTGTATGAACAAAACCCGACACTTGATTTAATCCTGAGAACTGATTTTTTTTTCTTTTTGTGCCAGTTCTGGGACTTGAACTCAGGGCCTCAGCACTAGTCCTGAGCTTTTTTTGCTCAAGGTTAGGGTACTCCCACTTGAGCCACAGCTCCACTTCTGCCTTTTTGGTAGTTTATTGGAGATAGGAGTCTCATGGACTTTCCTGCCCATGCTGGCTTCAAACTGGGACCCTCATATCTCAGCCCCCTGAACAGCTAGGAATACAGGTGTGAGCCACCAGCATGCAGTGAGAATTGGCTTTTTAAAATTAGACTGTATAGATGAAACTAATTTTCAAGTATATTCAAGATATTGCTTCATTCCTTCACAGCATGAAGATAATTTTAAGAAGTTACTAAAGCTAGATCAACGGAAGCCTACAGGATCATTGAAATACAGCCTATAAACCCATACAATTTATCTCAAAGCTGTTGATAGGAAAGTCTGAGCTCCTTCTAGCTAGTAGTGAGATCCTCAGGCCTACGAGTCTCCACTAGATTCCATTACCTTCCGGCGTTCTTCTACTGCCTGCATCTTCTCTTCTATGTCCTTCATGGTGAAATCCTTTACTTCCTTTTTGATCTTAAGTTTTTTCAGCCTGGCTGGTGGCTTTCTCAGTGGCTTCTCAGTCGTTTCCACCTAGAGGAAGAAGTTTTAAAAGTTTTTCCAATGGAGGAACAACCATAGTCATTGGGAAAGAACAGCAAACACACTTCAAAATGCTGGGGTGTGGCTCAAGATGTAGTTTCTAGCAAGGGCAAAGCTCTGAGTTCAACCTAGATTTCCTCCCTTTCCCCTATCCCCAAATTAAAAAAAAATCTTAATGAGTTTGGCATATATCTCTCTAGATATTCTCTATGCACATGTGTATACGTGTACCGGACATCTGTAATGCAGAAAAATGACCTAAATGAGATTATACCCTATATGCCTGTAATTTGCTTCCTTCACTTAATCTAATCTTTCTAGGCTAGTACATATACATCTCTCTATAAATCTACACTTAGGGAAGTTTTAAATGAGTTTCCGGTCTTCATTATAAAATAAACTGACATTCTATTCTAGATAACTTCTCTAAAGGTTTCCTTTTAAACAAAGGACAAGCTCTTCAGAGAATGGAGAATACCTGAATCAAAGCATCAATTGGAGTAATTTTAGTGTAGTAAAGGAAGGCCTTGAGTTTGCATCCTAACTTAGCTGTGTACTCACTTTTCATGACTGTCAAATAAATTCTAATTTTTTTTTGGGGGGGGGGTTGGTCATGGGGCCTGAACTCTGGGCCTAGAAGCTGGCCCTCAGCAATTCAGCTCAAGGTTAGGGCTCTACCACTATAGCCACATTGCCACTTCTGGCTTTTTCTGTTTATGTGGTGCTGAGGAATCGAACCCAGGGCCTCATGCGTGTGAAGCAAGCACTCTACCACTGAGCCACCTTCCCAGCCCTCAAATGAATTCTTTAAGCCTTAGCTTCTTTGTTTGTAAAACAGCCTACATAATACTTATTTCAGAGGATTTTTTTCCAGTAACAGGGATGAGGAGGAGGAAATATACCTACTTAATAATGGTAAATACTTTCCAGTATGTGAGATGAATGACTTTTTCCTACAATAGCACACAAAATAAGAATAAGGATATGGAATTATCACATTGATGGGGAGAGAGAATGGAAAGCTCATAGCACCAAAATGGAAACCGGAAATGGAAATGATGCAGGTATGGCCAGAGGTGAGCATCTCTCGGGACTCAGTTTTCTAACTTATAGCATAGTGAGGATTGCTAAGTTTCTTTCCAACTTTAAAACTTAGGTTTGCCAGAAAGTCATTTTTAAATAGAAATGTATTTATTGAATACAATACAATCTCTTACAACCACAGACAATTTTATGTGGTGTGGTTTTTCCCTGAACAAAAATTCATTAAAGCAAGTTCCCCTTGATTCTCATTTTGTTTGATTTTTTTTTTTTTTCCTGAAAATGCCACTTGGCTCTCAAGCTTCCATTATATTTGCTGGAAAAAGGGTCATTTTTTGCTATGGTGGCCCTACCAAAGAAACCTAGAAATTAGCATGGAAAATCTTGGTTGGGGGAATGTTAAAAGTATAGATCCAAGGGACCTATGTTTCTTTGGGCCTGGCTTACTTCACTTAATATAATTTTTTCCAAGCCTTTCCATTTCCTAACAAATGGGGAAATGTCATTCTTTCTGATGGAGGCATAGAATTCCATTGTGTATATATACCACATCTTCTTGATCCATTCATCTACTGAGGGGCATCTGGGTTGGTTCCATGTCTTAGCTATGGTAAATAATGCTGCAATAAACATAGTTGTGCTGGTAGCTTTAGTGTGGCCTTGTTTGTGATCATTTGGGTAAATGCCCAAAAGTGGGATTGCTGGGTCATTGGGGAGCTCTATGTGGAGTCTTTTGAGGAACCTCCATACTGCTTTCCAAAGTGGTTGAACAAGTTTACATTCCCACCAACAATGAAGTAAGGTTCCTTTCTGTCCACATCCCCTCCAGCATCTGTTGTTGTTAGAGTTCTTGATTTTTGCTGTTCTAACTGGAGTGAGGTGATATCTCAATGTTGTTTTGATTTGCATTTCTTTTATGGCTAGGGATGTTGAACATTTCTTCATGTGTCTATTGGCCATCCTTCTTTCTTCTTCAGAGAAGCTTCTCTTTAAGTCTTTCGCCCACTTACTTATTGGGCAGTTGTTTCTTTGAGGATTTGTTGTTTGCAATATCTAGTATAGGTATGAGTCAAGCAGAAAAAGTCAGATAATGTGATGTTAGGAAAACGAAACCTCAAATATGTATTTTAATGTTTTTGTTTCTTTCATGCATGTGTTTCTAACGCATTTATAAGATTATTTCTTTGTTGCTTTGTATGTCCCTCCCCCACAGTGTAACCCCCGCTTTCACTATATTTGATGTCAGTATAACATGTGGAGGAGATGGGGACAAACAAGTCGTTTAAGGATTCAGGTGGACCTGTTGCAACAATGAGAAGTACAAAAAGTCATGTCAAAACCAGCTTTACAATGTCGGTGGGGGGGGGGGGGAGGGGGGGTATGATTGGGTGGGAGGGAGGGGGGAGGCTGGGAAGGGAGGTGAAGGGTAAACAAAGGAGGAGGCTGCAATGCTTGGTAAGAAATGTATGCATTATCCTGCCCATGTAATTGTAACCCCTCTGTACAGTATGTTCTCAAATAAAATTAAATTAAATTAAAAAAAAAAAAAAAGTATAGATCCAAGATCCAGTAAAAAAAAAAAAAAGGGAACTTGGAGTTCACATAGCAATCTGAACCTTAACTAAAACACTGAGACAGCACAGCAGGGGTAAGAGATCTTTGGATTTCCTAGATTACGTTGACCATTCTTGTGCTTTGTACCTAAATAAAGATGGGAAATTGTTTGTCCTCCTCTTGAGATGTTAATCCCATGGATGTAGCCTTTGTCGTTTCTTGAGTTTGAAACTTTATGTAACAATAGGAAAAAGAACTTCACAAACACACCTCTATCCTTTATAATTTTATGAAGTCAAGATTTGTCAAATGTTGGCACTTAAAAGTGGTAACCATGGTAATGTTGTGCATAAAGATGTGGAAACTAAACAACAACTTGAAAGTCTAAAGAACTAGTAAAGAAGTTACCGATTGAATCATTTTCTTTATGAATTTTATGAGAGACCAGCCATGGCAGTTCATGGCTATAATGTCAGCTTAGGTAGGAAGCAAAGGTAGGAGAATTGTAATCCTAAACCAATCTTGGCAAAACTATACGATTCTGTCTGAAAAACAAAGTAAAACGAAAGCACTATGGGTTGGACTACAGCACAAGACCTTAAGCTCAAACTCCCCTCTCCCTAAACAGATAAAAATTAGTACCAGAAGATTTCTGTTCCCAACGATGCTACAATAACATTTGAGTCTTATTTCTAGCCAACCTACCTTCTATATATTCTGCCATAAATCCAGAGTAAATTCGACAGAGCTTTCTCAATTGACTGACCTACAGATGAACCTATCCTGATTTTGCTCCCCAATGGAGCAAATAGATTAGGTCAAAAGCTTTCTGCAAAAGGTTTTGTCATTCCTGTTCCTTTGACTCTAGACCTCCTGGGGAAAGTCACTTTGTTGACTAACTGACATTATTTAGTCCTTCAAAAACTCCCTGTGAGGTTCAGCAAATAATGTCAGAGACTGATGCAATGCAATCAAGCTCCCTAACTACTCCAAAGTTTAACAAAAACACAAGTTGCTTAAAGAGGAGACTAAACTTTGACCACATACTGGAGAAATTAATAGAATTATTCTTGGAGGGACTAATAGAAAATTCACTGAGTCTCTTTGTAAAAGGATTCAGGATGGGGCTGGGAAGGTGGCTCAGTGGTAGAGCGCTTGCCTTGCATGCCTGAGGCCCTGGGTTCGATTCCTCAGCACCACATAAGCAAAAAGAAAAAAGCCGGAAGTGGCGCTGTGGCTCAAGTGGTAGAGCGCTAGCCTTGAGCTGAAGAGCTGAGGGACAGCTCCCAGGCCCAGAGTTCAGGCCCCACGACTGGACCCCCACTCAAAAAAAAAAGGATTCAGGATGTGCCAGGGGTAGGGAGAAATGGGCTTGAGATTAAAAAACAAAACACCATCAGACACCTATAAAGAAATCTACACCAATGCTACCAATTCATACACTTATCAACATGTATAAAAAATACACATTTATAATAGATACTCTGTCTCATTGAAATGTCTTCAAATATACTGAAAGATTTATTTAATCACCTAATAGTTGTTTTTGTTTTGTTTTGTTTTGTTTTTATTTTGGTCAGTCATGGGGCTTGACCTCAGGACCTGGGTACTGTCCCAGAGCTTTTCACTCAAGGCTAATACTCTACCACTTTGAGCCACAGCTCCACTTCCTGTTTTCTGGTGATTCATTGGTAGTTCTCCGACTTTTCCTGCTGGGCTGGCTTTGAACTGTAATCCTCAGATCTCAGACTTCTGAGTTGGTAGGATTACAGGTGTGAGCCACTAGCAGGCAGCCCGATAGCTTCTTGTTATTATCTTTCTTACATATCATTTTAATTCTTAAGTAAGCCTTCCTGAAAATTGATTATGGAATCGTTGTACTTGCCAGCAAGTGAAAGATAAAAATTAAGAAAAAAGATGGAAGGATATCTTGCAGCAGCCACAGATACTGCCAGGGACCTCTAGGAATAGATTGTGTCACTGGATGCCCCAGATTGCAAGGAGAGAAAGATGCTCACTTTTCAGTACCCTTTATTCTATGTCACTTTAACTGAGAACTTCATGCAAGGTAATGAACAAGCCAAGAAGGAGCCAGACTAGCATTCAGAACTCTCTTGCAATTCAGTTTACTATTAGTACATACAAGAAGTCTTATTTGGACTAATTTTCTCTCATGTACTCTATTTTCCCCATATCATTTTATTTAAAATATTTCTCCCCTTAAAGCAATGAAAAAATAATGTTCACACATCTGATTGGATTCATCATAGTAGGGGAACTGCTGACATTAGGATTCTCTTTATTTTATCAGCCTTTTTTATTTCCCTTCATTCCTTGGCGCTTTTTTTTTAATGTCAATTTTATCAGGCTTTTTTTTTCTTAAGAATTTATTAAGTATTTGATACTTCAAAGTATTAGCAGTCAAATATTTCCATATTTTATATGATTATCATCTATCCGTCAGTGTCATTTTTTTTTTTAGTTTGGCCTAATGACTTCTCTCTAAAATATTGAAAGAACTTGCTGTCTGACACAATTAAGTGTGTGAAAGAGACTTGTTCTCAAGAGCAATTACTGTTACCTCTCTCCCTCCCTCCCTCCTTCCCTCCCTCCCTCCCTCCTTCTCTCCCTCCCTCCCTCTTTCCCTCCTTCTTCCTTCCTTCCTTCCTTCCTTCCTTCCTTCCTTCCTTCCTTCCTTCCTTCCTTCCTTCCTTCCTTCCTTCCTTCCTTCCTTCCTTCCTCCCCTAGCCCTTCCTCCCTCCCTCCCTCCCCCTTCTCTCCCTTTTTTCTTTTCTTCTGTTGTAATTTATTTTGACATTAGGCACTTGCTAGGCACTCATTCTACATGCCTCCAACCCCTTTTGTTCGGGTTATTTTGGGGATAGGGTCTCTTATTTTGCTTGGATCAGCCTGGGCCATGATCCTCTTATTTATGCAACTCATCACAGCAGGAGTGGGTGCACTGTATCACACCCAGATAAAGTCTCAGGAACTTTTTGCTCAGTTCTGGCCTAGAACTAGCATCTTCCCTCAGCCTCCAGAGTAGCTAGAATTACAGGTGTGAGCCATTGGTTCCTGGCCACTTTGGCTTTTGATTCATAAGTTTTCAATATTCTCTGCACACAGAGAATAAAATCCACTTTAGTTAAACGTTAAGTGCTTGATCTGTCAACTTGATTTAAATAATGTGTCTGTCATTCCCATTTGACAGTTTTCTCTACAACACAAGGATAAATGATAATAAGGGATAAGTGAAAATTACGATGTGATTTCTGGTCTTTACTTCTACCATTTCTGTTTATTTCTTTTCCCAGCCATTTCCCTGACCCTGGAATGTATTCCAGTTGTTATTTTTTTCTTTTTCACCTTCTTTATTATGCCTGTGCTCTAAGAACTAGTGGTAAAAGCTCAGAGCTTTGGCCTAAAAACAAGCAAGCAATAAAACAAACCCAAATAGAAAAATATGCTGTCTTCTTCACAGCTGCACACAGAACTTGCGAACAAAAAAAAAACTAGAGCCCTAGACTTTGGTCAAATCACTTAAAACCAGAAGGAAACATCATTCCCACGAAGGAAATGCACTGAGAGAGTCATCGAAATGATGCAAAAAAAGCAAGACTATAACCATTTCTAGAATTACATTTCCTCGTGTTGGTCTTAGGATATACAGATGGATACATGTATTAGCCTATCTGTTGTACCTTTGACATTTAGATCTCTTTCCATCTTGAATAAATCACAATTCCATTTTATATTCCAAAAGGTAATGCTTAGTAAAAATTGCTGAATGGATGAATGTATGTTATTCAATAGGACTTAACCTGTCTCGAGTTTAGTAAAACCCACAAAATGTTTTAATAGGTTCATTAATCATTAGTGATTAGGGCAATTCCTGGCTCTACTGAGAAAGATATACATACTATATAGGTGTAAAGAAATTTATGGAAAAATCTGGTGGCTCACAACTCAGGAAGCTGAGATCTGAGGATTGAGGTTTAAAGTCAACCAGGGTAGGAAAGTCTGTAATACTCTTATCTCCAATTAACCACACTGTGGCTCAGAGTGATAGAGTGCTAGCTTTGAGTAAAAAGCTCAGGGACAGCACACAGGCCCTGAAATCAAGCCCCACAAAAAAGAAATTTATAAAAGAAAAATCTGACTTAGTTAAATGTTGTCATTTGTCTTATAATTTGCATGCTGGAAGTTGGAATTCATACTGGAAGTAATGGCTTGTGAGCATTTTCTGCTATTGCTCATTTTAAGTGACTATAAGTAAATGTTACTTAGAAAGTTACTTACCCAGGGGCTGGGAAGTGGCTTAGTGGTAGAGCACTTACCTTGCATGCATGAGGCCCTGGGTTCGATTCCTCAGCACCACATAAACAAAAAGAAAAAAGCCGGAAGTGGCACTGTAGCTCAAGTGGTAGAGCGCTAGCCTTAAGTTGAAGAGCTGAGGGACAGTGCACAGGCCCAGAGTTCAGGCCCCACGACCGGACTACCCCCCCTACATCCCCCCCCGCCCCCGCAAAAAAAAGAAAGTTACTTACCATGACATCATAGGACTCTCCATGTCTAAACGCTTTGCTGTGACTCTGTATTATTCCTTGAACAATTAGTTCCTCCAGGATGTCTAATGACTTTTGTCGCTCTCGTTTCTCCAGAGATTTGGGCTTATTGATTAATCCATTGGTCGCCAGATCTTCCAAAGAAAAAGAAAACAGAAAAGGACATTGAAGAATGAAGAATTTTATTAATTAAATACTCAATGGGTGCCTTAATACATCATGCTACAATGAAATCTTAGATCCAATATTCCTACCAAATGTCTGTTTCTACTATAAAACTTTGTGGTCCTTTTAAGTCTGTTCTTGCTGTTCTTACTGAGGAAATACATCAACATAATCTATTCTTGACTTAGTTCATCTTCTATCTCAACATAGCAAAAGCACTTCTGTGTGCTGCTATGTATGGGTTTTGTTGTAACAACAGGTATACACTTGGGTAAGATGACATGAGTCTGTTCCTTTAATGATGAAGCTGAACTATAGCAAAGATTCAAGACATTCTCCTGGTAAGTCTTCTGAGTTGCAGTTTGGTTTCTATGCTTTATACACAAAGCATAAACAGCACGATGTTGCCAAGAGACGTCTAGTTCTGCAACCCTGAGTGCACAGTTACACCATCTGCTGTGTCTACACACAAGTCAAAGTAGGCCTTTTGGAAAAGAGGCTTTGAACCAAATCAGAATTGGAGTAATAGAAGCTAGAATTGAATTCGTGATTTAAAAAAAGGAGCAAATAAACTGTAGAGGAGCCTTTATAGACTGAGAAGAGGATCTCTCCTTACAAATCACCCAATTATGCAAATAAGCAGTAAGTTTTATATTATCAGATTATAAAATAAATGATGCTGGCTTGTTGGCCCCAAGACTACTCTTGCTTTTGCAGTCAGAAACAATGCAATGTGTAGTCCTCAGAGGTGAGCTGTCTTCTATTATGTAATTCCACTTCATGGATGACATCTTTTTATGAAAATTTCTAACCAGAGTGGGTCATAGAGTGTCTTTGGGTTTCTCCCGGGAGGAAGAAAACACACAGTTGAACATATGCACACACACACACACACACACACACACACACATGTTTCTCACTCCTATTATTAGCTCATATTCTTTGTTATCAGAGATTTCCCTGACTGGGTGCAGTAAATAGTACTAACAAATCCCCTACCATCTCCGTACTTCCTCTTTGCTAGTCCTTCTGCCCGTGCAGGTGTTTGAAATAGAACCAATTCTCATTTTCAAGTGTTCTATACAGATTTTGGGACAGAGTGATAAAACAGGTCATCTAGGTGGATCAATGAGAAACTTGAAACAATGCAGAAGAGTTGAACATAGTGGTGCAGAGTTGAATCCCTTTGAGACATTAGAGTGATTTTGTTGTTGTTATTGTTGTGGGGAGGGCAACTTCTGTTGTGTTGTTGTTGGAGGGTTAACACGATGACAGCTATTTACTGGGCAGTTGTGCAGCTGTACAATACTAAGTAGTTTACATACTGCTTCACAACGAACTCAAACACCAACTCTGTAAGAGGCTTTATAATTCTCATTTTTATAAATAAGCATATTGACTTGATGGAACTTTCCCAGGTGAATGTAAATGGTAAGTGTGTAAACTAGGCCCAAATCCAAGTCTGTTTGAATTTAACCCTCACCATCGCAGCCTCACGGCTCAGAGTGCTGTTATAGAAATGGCTTAGTCACTATTGGTCCATCTTTCTCCCATGATGTTTCTAAAAGGAATGTCAGCCTTGACCTCTGTCACTAATACAAGGAAATTACTATCACTGTCCAGATCTATTATTTCTGAGTTCACTAATTTATCTGGCATGATATGTATAGTAGCTACTCTACACAGAGATTCTTGGAATATGTTAGTCATTTCAAATCATTTGGACATTATCTTGAAACACTGAAAAATATTGGGGAATATTTAAAATAACATTGTGAAGCCAGTTTAGGTGAAATCCCAAGGAGGATCTTGAATTTAAGGCCAACCTGGGCATAGCTAGTGAGTTCCTATTTCAAAAACCAATATAAAACAAAAAGACTTAGTGGCAAAGTGCTTGCCTAGCAAGTTGAGGGCCTAGGGTAACTTAATCAACAGCACTGGGGGGAAAAGCCCACCAGATGAGCACAATGCTCACTCCTCTAATACTAGGTACTCAGGAGACAGAGATTGGGAAGATTGCAATTTGAGGCCATAGGCAAAAAGTCTAGAGGCCCTCTCTCACCCAAAGAAAGCCGAGTATAACATCATACACTCTTGTCATCTTACCTAGGTGGGAAGCATAAATAGAAGGACAGAAGTTCACTGGCCTGGGCATAAATGTGAGAATCTATCTGAAACCTACCCAATGTTTATCCAAGTGATAGAAGCCTTGATCAAGTAGCAGAGCACCTGCCTAGTAAAAACAAAGCACTGCCTAGTAAGAACAAAGAACAAAGAACATTTACCCCCAAAATACTGTGTTTCTATTTTATTGAAAAGGTAATCTATGATGACCAGTGCACACTTAGAATACACACAAGAAAAGATAGGATACAAATGAGAATATGCTCACTATCCAGAGGCTGGCTTCCATGATTAATACAGGATACTTTCTATAAATATGATGGCATATCAGTTTTTGTTTCCTATTTAGTTAGCACTTACATTAGCATTAGTATATTCTTATATGATTAGAAATTCTTTTTTTTTCTTTTGCCAGTAGGAGGGTATGAGTTCAGGATCTTGTACTTGCCTGGCTGGTGCTCTACCACTTGAGCCATGCCACTACCCAGCTTTTTGCTGATTATTTTGAAGATAGAGTCTGACTTTCTGCCTGTGTTACCTTTGAACTTTGGTCCTTCAGCTCTCAACCTCCTGAGCAGCTATTATAACAGGCAGGAGTCACCAGTGCCCAGCTTTGTAAGCATGGATTAAAAAATGAAATTAAAAAGGACACATGGGACATCATCTTAACCTTGACGTAAGAAGAGATTTTCAGGTTTCCTTAAATTCTAAGTTCAGTAAAAGACTCAAATTTTGCTATATTAAGAGTATTTTCAAAAGGCAAACAAGCAAGCCCAGTAAGAGTCAAGTGTAGCTATCATTCACTTGCTAATACTAACTATGATAAAATTTCCTTTTGGTATTCTTGCCCCCCCCCCCCGCCCCCCACCACCACAAAATCATAACCTAAACCAATCACAGGAAATTTCAATCAAGTCCAAGTCCAGGAGAATTCTACAAAATAAACCTGGATGATATCCAGGTCTGTCTTAAGAGAGAAGGAAAAGTTGAAGGGTTGTTCAGATTAAAGGAGATGAAAGACATGTGACAAATTGCACATGTGGTCCAGGGTTAGATGCTGAATTAGAAATTGTCACACAGCTGGCAGCATTTGAATATAGTTTATAAATGAGATAAGAGTTCGTCGATGGTATACAACAGTGGTGATTTCCAGATCTTGGCCCTTGTACAGAGATAATGCAAAGAAATCTTGCTTTTAGGAACTATGCATGATCTATTTAAATGCAAAGTGCCATTTGCTCTGTAAGTTTCCTCAGAAGAAAATACACCTAGGTATGGGGGATATGTTGATGCCGATGCAGAGTCAGCCTGAAAGAAGTATGCATAGTCTCTGTTCAGAGATTCATTGCCTTTTGCATCTTAAAAAGTTTTTTTAATGCCATTCGCAATTTTCAAAAGGTTAGTTAAAAAAACCCAAAGGTAATACTTCTGGTTCTAGATTTAACAATGCTTTGGGTTTGACATAACAAGTTCTTGGCATTATGATGATGTAAGAATAAATCCACACATTTAATAGACAGTGTGTTTTGAATTCTGGATTCGGATTTTCTTTTCCCATTGGGCCAGGAACATGTGGTGCAACACTCCCTTGGCCTCTGGACAAAGGGAGAAGTCCACCACCTCCAGGGGAAATCACTGACCATCTACAATGTGCTGTGCTACCAAACTAGGCTGCTCAGTAGACTGTGTGCAGTCAAGACCTTTTCGATCTCCATCATTAATCAAGAAGCCTTTGTCCTGGGGAAATGTTAGTGTGAAACTTGAGATCTTTAACCCATGTATTCTATAAGCTGTAAAGCTGAGGATGAAGAAAAGAGGAAGCCAAGGAGTGGGAGATGGGAAATGTGGGCAAAGAACACCTGTTTTGAGTCCAGGGTGTTCTATGTGAGGTACTTTCTGAAAAGGCTTTAACACTACGTTTTAGAAACATCTGCCCGGTGGCTGAGGCTTCCCTGAGCTGTTCTCTCTTAGCATTATCTTGTTTACCTGTCATTCTCCACTTATTGTTTTTTTTAAACAAACAAACAGGGTGCAGCTGGCAGGAATGACTATCTTACAACATACCTGTCCCTAGCTGCCTGGTGCTGTGCGGTCTGCCAACCGCACAGGTATTTAGCATTCAGGTTTCTGTCAGGGAGGAAATAGATGCACTTAATCAGTGGTGAGAACAAAGCATCTGCACTTTCTAGGGGGTGGAGGACAGGAAAGGGTGGGTCCAGCACTGGTCTCTTTACTTCCTGCATCCTTCTCCATGATCACATCAACCACAGAGGGTGGCAAATATAAACTGTATGATAAGATGTGCATGTCAGCAAAACCTATGGGAAAGACATTCATGTACTAACTTACCTATGTTTCCAAATTACAATGATGAGGAATGAGAGGGAAAAAAAAAGTCTCCTCACCTCCCCCAAGCAAAACAGACTTCCATTCCATTAGACTAGTGAGGTTCATGGTGTTCTAAAGACTGGTCAAATTATAAATTAGATGTCATGAATCAACAGGCAGGAATAATTCAAGAAAAGAGAAAATACAGTACAGGAGAAATGACAAATAGTTTCTAAATAGCACGCCAGGTGGTAGTTACTTCTTTTATGTTTTTGAAAGATTCTTTGATTGTATGTTTGGTGATAACCTAGATGGGGGAAAAGACAGGGCAACAGTTCAATGAAGGCTTTTATATAGTTTTGATAAGGCCAAACTTTCCTTAGAAAGATGTTAATATTAATTCCTTTCAATGGAAACGTACGTGTGTGTGTGTGTATGTGTGTATGCATAGTTCCTGGGGTTTGAACTCCAGATCTTGGGCTAGCACTTTATTACTTGAGCCATACCTCTACTTTCAGCTTTTCGATGGGTAATTGTAGATAAGAGTCTCATCAATTTTCTTGCCCAGGCTAGCTTTGAACCATGATCCTCAGATCTCAGTCTCCTGAGTAGCCAGGATTATAAGCATGAGCCACCAGTGCCCAGCTTGGAAACACCTATTCTTAAATTGTGTTTTTAATTCTTGATAAACACTGTTTAGCTTAAAACAAGATGGGTTCAGCTACTGCATTGCAAAAAACCCACTAACATTTACCATTACTTACATAATCAAGACCTAAGGTCCAACGCTAATATTTTAGAGACAAGACAAAAGCCTTACCATGTAAGGTACTCCACGAAGCAGTAAAAAAAGCTCTGCCTACTATCAATTAGGTGTTTAGAGAAGTAATATTTTGTGGAGATCAACACAAATACCAGTGGAAAAGGAGTTTACCTGAGTTTATGCTTCCATTTCTTTTACCAGGAGGTGGAGAACATTCTGGAATCGTTCCAGGTAAGTTTCCCATCTGGGCTTGTTGATCCAGGTCTTCTGCCTTGTCCACAGTGTCCTTGGGTTGTGCATCTTCAGTCTGGGGGCTGTGATTTTCCCTAGAATCAGTCACTCTGACCTCAGCCTGTGGAAAGGGATCAGCTTAATGAGGGTCAAAATTTCTCAGGAAAAAGGAAAGTCAGGTTGCTACAACTCCTTTGTGAGTATTTAGCCAACTTGTCCATACAGTAGTCTGCCTAGGACTCTTTAGTCTCTAGATGTGATGTTATATGGTAAAATAAGTTAGATGTGATTAGTATTCTCCAGATGGCAAGATTACCCTGTGATATTCAGGAGAGCTCTAAGTGCAATCAGAAGTCTTCTCATAAAAGGCAGTCAGAGGGAATGTTGTACTTTGAGTGTAAAATGGCCTAAAAGGTATTTATACATACATTCATGTATAAAAAACATACACAGGTATGGAAGGTCTGGTCTCCAACTGGTGACAGCACTGAAAGATCATTGGATCGTGAGGATGCTCATCTCATCAATGACTTAATCCATTGGCCAATTTGTAGCTAAATCGGTTTTTAGGAGGCAGGGCCTATATGGAGAATATAAGTCACTGTGGAAGTAACTTTCAGGGGTGAATCCTGTCTTTAGATGCTTTCTCTCTTGCTCTCTCTCTGCCTCCCAGCTGTCATGAGCTGAGAAGCTCCATTCCCTCCGGCTTTCTTTGCTATGATGATGTTCTGTCTCACCATAGGCCCACATAGTAACTGGGCCATGTGACCACAGACACCATCTGAAACCATGAATCAAAATACATTCTTTCTTCCTTAAGTTAATTCTTCAGGTATGTTATCACAGATAATCAGTACCAAGAAGAGGGTCATTTTTGGGCCCATTCCTGAACCATAGAATTCAGACACCTTCAAAACTGTTTTATGAGAGATATTTGGAAAGACTTTGGAGCTGCAGATCAGATAAGCTCAGAATGCTAGAATCAGAGTTTAGTGTGAAATTCTGATGGGAGCTCAGAAGACCATGATGTCACTAGGAACTCTGACAGCAATGACTGTGCTTGTGAGGTTTCAAGTGGAGAGGAAGACTCCATTGGAAACTGGTCTGGAAGTTATTCATGCCCTATTTTGAGAAATAAATATTCTATATGTTTTCCATGAATCGTAACTTTGTGTGTGGCCAATTTGGAAGGTAACGGACTCATCAGTCCGGTGGGAGAAAATTTCAAAGGCAGCGCAATGCTCAAGTTCCGGCACTCATATTGTTGGCCGTTTTTGCTTCTAATTCTCATTAGAAGCAAAGAGCAGACTAGAATTGGAAGCATTAGCAGTTTAGCTAGAAAAGGTTCAGGTTTGAAGTTGGAGCCAAGGTTTGGAGTTGGGCATGGAAATTAGTACTCTGGAAAAGAAACCTGATGCTTTGCCTTGGACAATAGGAAATAAGGGTTGACCCCACCCATGGCAGGCTCAAGGGTGTAAAGGAAATAAGTCACTAGAGACTTAAGACTTTAAGACTACTTTGGTAAGAAAGCTCAAGGGCTCCTGGCTCATTCAGCATTCTTTAGAAGCTGCTTACCAGCATTCAGCCATCTAGGCAAATGGAGGGGGCTTGATTATTGCTCAAGTTGGCAGCGAACCTGAGCATCTTCTAGGTGATGCTGTTTCTGCAGACATGAAGAATGCAAGTATTATAGGGCCACAGAAGCTTCCACCCAGATTTCAAAGGAAAGCCAGGCAATGGGAGAGAGACCCCTTCAGGCAGCCCTGGAGAAAGTGGTGTGTGAGGCTGTGAAGGCCAAGCCTAAATGCAATGGAGACCCAAGGAACTTGGAAATGTCAGAAACATGGAACATCTGCTGAGGATAATGTCAGGTAGGGAGCAGAACCAACCTGCAAAAGAGGCCATTGAAACTCTAGACAGCAATGCTCACATCCTGCCACTACGTGCTGTGCGTGCCAAACATGGAGCTTTGCCCTGTTAGGTTTTAATCTTGCTTTTGTTCCATTCCTCCTTTTGGGAATACAAATGTTCACTTTGTGCTATTGTATCTTAGGAATATGTAACTCACTCTTTGATTTTACAGGCGCTCACAGCTAAGAGTTTGTCTTGAGTCACAAAAGAGAGATATAAACTGAATAAGACCTCTCATTGCAATACATTTATCTATCCATCCACCTATCAGTATATCTAGTCTAGTGGATCTATTCCTCTAGTAGAATTCTGACTGACACAAAACATAGTAGAAAATCAGTACCCTCCTCTAAATGGAAGCACTATCAACTTGTTGGTTTATCACCTACTCAATGTATTTGCTCATATAAACTCTTGTAAAATAGATTGATACTGGTCAATCGATCTGCCCACAAAGAGATGCTCCATGTCATTCAGTCCTCAGGAAATAGAAAGCAAAAGCAGAGTCAGCTGCTTCACACGTGTGAGGAAAACGGTAAAGGGTAAGGCACATGCCAGCAAATGTTGGTGAGTGTGTGGAGAAATTGGAACCCCCATGCCTTGATGTAGGAGTCAATTTGGGGCAGCAACTTTGAAAACAGTTTGGTAGTTCCTTTAAAAAGTTAAGCATAGAGGGGGCTGGGAAGGTGGCTCAGTGGTAGAGCGCTTGCCTTGCATGCCTGAGGCCCTGGGTTTGATTCCTCACCACCACATAAGCAAAAAGAAAAAAAGCCGGAAGTGGCGCTGTGGCTCAAGTGGTAGAGCGCTAGCCTTGAGCTGAAGAGCTGAGGGACAGTGTCCAGGTCCAGAGTTCAGGCCCCATGACTGGACCGCCCCCCCCCCCAAAAAAAAAAAAAAGAAAAAAAAGTTAAGCATAGAGTAACTTCAGGATACAGAAACCACTCCTGGGGAAATGCCCAAGCAAAGTGAAAAGACCTCCCTATTCAGAAACTTGCACGGGAAGGCTTATAATTTTTTTATGGATGAACAAGTGGAAACAGCACAATATTTATCAGCTGATGAGTGGCTAAGTGAAGTTTGGCATTGTCATATAAAAGAATATTACTTGGCAATCAAGAGAGCTGAAATACCGACACAAGCTACCACCAGGCAGTACTTGAAAGCGCTTTCCTAAGTGAGAAAAGCTAATGGCAAAGACTAGGCATGCTCAGTCAAGGCAGACTTACAGTCAGAAAATGAATGGGGTGAGGTGAAAGAAATGTGGATTGGCTGCTTATGGGTAGTCATTGGTTTTCGGTGGGAAAATCTTCTAGAATGAGATGGAAGTGGTGGCTTGCAATGGTCTGTTTAAATGGGCAGAATTGCCAGTGAAGTTATGTTTAGAAAATAAAACATTCCTAGGGTAGGAGGTGGGAATGTGTTGAAGAGGTTTTATCTGTTTTTGAGGTGAAGTTGAACAGAGGCTGTGTTTCTACATTTTGTATTAAGTTTGTTTCATTTTTTATATTTAAAAATTTTTAGAATTAACTATGAATTTTAAGCTGACCATTATAGATGAAAACCATCAATATTCTAAAAAAAAAAAAAGGCTTTGCTTTTAGCAAAGGTGCTAAAACAGGTGCTTGTTGTTTGTTTTTTCTTTTTTTCTTTCCTGGTGTAGAGGTGCTATATATGGTTTATTATTTGGGAAAAACATTTGCCAAACAGCTTGGAAGAAGTAATTTGTTGATGCTTTCCAGAGCTCAAAGCTTCTTAAATTAAGTTATTAGCAGATGCATTGTATAAATGTATTTCTCTATAGACCTATAAGAAGAAATTGTTCTTCAAATTTTGATTTTTTTCTAGCTTACTTCTAGCAAAAATAATAATTAAAAAAACCCAGCTCTCAAACAAAAAAAAATCCTCACAAGAATATGAGGGCTTAAAATGGTGTACTTTAATGTTATTTAGGGCTGAGGGCATGATTATCAGTTTGACCTGAAAGGAGAGGGAGGAAAGAGGAAGGAAAGAAGGAGAGAGACAGAGAGAGACAGAGAGAGAGACAGAGATAGAGACAGAGAGAGACAGACAGAGAGACAGAGACATAGAGAGAGACAGAGAGACAGAGACAAAGATAGGAGAGGAAGAGGAGGAAGACAGTGGAAGAGTCATCAGTAAGAGTAACAGTAATCTAAGTATGACTGTGGAAAAAAAATATACACAGGATTGAAGACTATCACCAGTTGATTTAAACAAAGTCTGGCACCAGTGGTTCACACCTGTAATTCTAGCTATTCTGGAGGCTGAGATCTGAGATCTCAGTTTGAAGCCAGCACAGGTGAAAGGTCTAGAAGACTTTATCTCGAATTACTGAGCAAACATCCAGCCTGGGGGCATGGCAAAAGTAGAAGAGCACCAGCTCTAAGCAAACAGGCCAGGGACTTTTCGTCTAACAAATTCTTATATCTAATTATTCCTGCAAAGTAAGTGAAAAAGAATGACTTTTTGTTCGGTATGAAAAATGGAAGAAGGGTAGAAGATTAACACTTCCAAATGACATTCGTGTCTTTTGGATAAAGGAGGAAAAAAGAAACCCTATATATTAGTTCAAAGAATTATTGCATACTAACAAAGATGACCAGAGTGCCCCCCAGGAAGCCCATGAGATTATGGGTGAGAAGGACATTTAAACAGACTCTACATTGTCTGTTTTAGGATTCAGCACTGAAGAATGTATTAGGAACTCCTCAGTCTGCCAGGGGTCAGGAATGGAATTCAGGGAAAGGCTTGGAAGTGTGAGGAGGCCTAGAGGAACCAAATGACCAAGTCATTAGGTCTGACAGACACACAAGTCCAGGATTGCCAGTAGAGAAGATGGCATTAGAGAGAAAGGAGAGGATCTACTTGTAAAGGGTTCTGTACAGGACAGATAATTGCTTCTTGGGTAGAAAGGAGGCAGACTGGTTAGTGACAGGAGGGGCAGAAGGACACAAGAGGTAACGGGATTCTAAACACAGGCAGTGGCAGTTTGGAGACAGTGTTAGGGATAGGCTTCCCGCAAAGCACTGGTGTTACACCTGGAGTGTCAGCCTTTGCTGGATTGAGATTTGCTTTTAAATTTACTCCAGGTATCTAGCAGATGTGTGCACAGGTGGCAAGGATTGACAGTGCCCTATGGGCCCAGTGTCTACTGAGAAGGATGTACTTGGGGGTGTGCACTCAGGGCTTCTCCTTAGTTGCTAGGCAACAGCTCTAGCAGTTAAGCCCCGCCTCCAGCCCTTTTCTGGTTTATTTTTCAGATAGGGTTTCACACCTTTGCTCAGGTAGGCTTCTAGACCTGGGTCTTCCTAACTCTTCCTCCTGCACAGCCAGGTTTATTGCAGTCCTGAGCTATCATGTTCATCCCAAGCATGTGTTTTGAAAGCAGCCACTCCACAATTATCCTGTAAGGCCTAGTATGCTGACTTCAGCTAGACTATTTGGGAAAGTGTGTGAAATACATTCCTTTCACTCTTTTTTTTTTGTTGTTGTTTTTAAAATTCTTTTGCAGGTCCCGGGGCTTGAACTCTAAGTTTGAGTGCTGTCTCTGAGCTTTTGTGCTCAAGACTAATGCTCTACTCCTTGAGCTACAACTCCACTTTGGGCTTTTTTTGTGGTTAATTGTAGATAAGAGTCTCACAGACATTCCTGCCTGGGTTACCTTCCACCTGAGATCCCCAGCTCTCAGCCTCCTGAGAAGATAGGATTAAAGGCTGAGCCACTAATGCCCAGCCCTTTTCACTGTTAAATGTATGGTTTTGATGTAAAATCATATGGCAGCCCTGTCTTACCTTAGGATAATCCCACTGGACCGGGCCTTTGATGGCTCCTAGTTCTGAGTATGGAAATCTCAAATGTGGGATGGAGAGGAAGAAGTCACAGGTATCATTTCTGCCCATCCTTCCATGCCCCACTCTGGAAAAAGATTTCCTGAAATGTCTCCAGGATACTTACAGGGGGCTACCACCTTTGAGACCTAGTGAAGAGTCTATCAGCATGAGCTTCTGGAAAACTTGACTTCCACTCTCGCTGGGCTTCCAAACAAGCTTTGCAGCCTGGGACAAAGCAGTCACCCACCTCTCTGGGCCTGTCAGGTGCAACCACACGAGTTCCTGCCAACAATCCCAACCCCCAACTAACAACTAACCCATTTCCAGAAGCCAGCAGTAATAGGTAGCAGCTTTAAGGAACTCTAGCTTTCCCCTGAAAGGCAGGTGACCCACCCTAGGGTCACCTCAGCGGTGTTCAGAACCCTTCCTCTTATACTCCTCTGCTCTGGGTGTGGTCAGGAATCCGCATAGGTTTGTAAACAAGACACATGCATTCCTGATTTACACACCAGCCCAACTCTGGCCCCATAAAATCGATCCCAAATGCTTCTACTCTATTAGACAAGGACTAAAGGTGTGTGTGTGTGTGTGTGTGTGTGTGTGTGTGTGTGTGTGTGTGAACTTGGACCCTATTCTTACCTGCTCCAGCTGTCCCTGAGCAAGGCTTCCTGGGCTAAAGGAATCATGTCCAATTTATTATTATTATTATTACCTGGGATCCCTCCTCCCAGCTCTTCTTGGGCACAGGCACACGTCTCTGGTCTTCTGCGTCGGGCTGGGAAGGTCCGCAGCCCATGCTGGGCAGCGCGCACGCCTTGTCCACCCCTCCTGGCTGTGCGCCCCAGGGACCGTCTATGGGCCGCGCCCCACCCCGCGATCCCGCGGCCCGGGCTGCCTCCTCTGCCACCGCCTGCAGTCAAAGGCTGCACGGCAGACGCTGGGCAGTTGCTGGGAACTGTTGCCACAATAAACCCGGTCATCTGGGACCTGGGCGGGGAGGGGCGTCCCCAGCTTTGTTCGGATGCGGATTACAGCTGTCTGCAAGAGTGAGCGCCAATGTCTGGCCGGATTAGGTTTTGATTTTGTGCTTTGTTTTTGTCTCAGCATCCTGCGTGAGTCCCTCACTGGTTCATTTTCCCTGGTAAGGTCCCGTGGGTCACTTCTCCCCGCCCTCCCCTCCCACACACCTGGGTGCTTGGTTCAAGCACTGTAATTGATTTGAGATGGTCTGAGGCTGCACACCCTTCTTGAGGGCGGGGGCTTCAGCGCCTGAGGTCCACGTCCCAGGGCGACCTCAGAAATGAAGGTCTCATCAACACCACCCACACAGTGAAGAAAGCCAAACACTTAGAACTTCCGACTGCTCAGCAGCCGCCAAATGGGTTATGCAAATCCTTTTCTGGAAGGTGTGTATTTTTTTTCTTTTGTAAAGAGTATGCATATATTTCTCCAAGAGATTTAAATACAAGCGGCATAATATGTGAAGGCTCAAACATGGAACGCGTTTTCTTCTTGTCTTATTTTGAATAGCTGAGAGGGGGTCTTTGAGACCTATCAGCCCTTCATTTTACAGACTGCACATTTAGCTTCAGAGAAGCAGAGAAAGCTTCCTGGTCACTAGGGAGCAAGTTATGGAATGAGGAGCCAGTAGCTTCATTCAATTCTCCTATGTATTCAACCAGGGATTCTTGGCTTGTCAAAGTCCCTGGATTCTTCCAAGGAAATAAATGGTCAGATCGCTTATAAGATGCTGATTATTTTATAGCTTCTAAACTCATTCCACTTTCTCTCACCCTCAACTGCTCTAGTGAAGTTTCTTGTTCACTTTCCTTTTACTAAAACTGAGGAAGAGGAGAGGAAACAGCAGTCAAAGCCCGAACAATTATGGAGCAACACATATGAAAGATTTATGGAGGAAGAGCTTAAATGAGACTAAAGGGGTGTTTGAGAAACATCTTTGAAAGTATTGACTCACGAGTGCAATAAATCACTCAAACTGTTCCAAATGGAACCTGGAAAATCCTCAACTGGAATAATCCAGTGTACAGGATGCCTACAAAGTGTTCTGGGAAAGTTCAATGTATAGCTGTAGAATAGTAAGAGTGAAATACTGGATAGAACCTTTTCCTTGTAAGGCTGTCTGTGGACAGAAGTTTGCAGGGGGAAAAATGGACTGGTACCAAAATATGTGTGTGTAAGCATCTTTTGGAGTATCCTAAGGATTCTAGTCCAAGGTTGTGAAAATGTCCTTTTTCTAGGCATGTGCTAACACCTACTAGTATTGGTTCATGGGCCCTGTTGCTCAACACTATTATTATTAGAGTTACATAAACTTTACAATTAAATGATGTTGAAAACAACAGTAATCAAGACAACCACTTTAAAGAACAAGCGTATAGACCATCCGAGAATATTAAATCATTACTTTAGAACATGGAAAGGAAAAAGAAAGGACAGAGAAGTTAGTGAGGAAGAAAATAAAGAGGAAGAAGGAAGACTAAGTCTATTAGGCAATGAAATATAGAAGAAAAGAAATCCTGGCTTCAGATTATTAATGTATTTTCAGTCTGGGAATCCTTCATGCATAAAGAAGTGGGATCCTGATGCTACACCACTTTCTTTTCCCCCTTTCCTGGTGAAGAAGGGGTTTTGTAAATCACACTGGGTAGGGGAGGTAAAAACTTGTCATTAGTCAAGCTCCTCCTTTCTGTTCTGATAGGATGGAAAGCAGAGAGCAGAGATGTCTGCTGGCAGCCCTGGTAAATTGGTATATTAGGCAGGGTTGGTTTCAAATTTCACATTTAAAGCTTTCTGATTTCAGTTTGGAACTAGAGCTTTACTCAGGAAGTAGAAAATCATGCAGAGAAATCAATTCTGATCCTAATCCTAATTCATTAGTGTTCCTCCAATTAATAGAAAAATCATATGCTGACTTGTAAACCCCCAAAGTCCAAAATGAGGAATCCTTACAGTAATATCTAACATCTTGAATGCTTGCTAAGCTGAGGTTTAAAAAAGAAAGAAAGAAAGAAAACTAACTGATGGCTCTTTTCTTTTTCTTTCTTTCTTTTTTTTTTTTTTGACTAGTGCCTTATTAGTTTAAACAAGGGCTAGAGAATTGTGCCCTGGAGCCTCAACTGGCCCTCTGCCCACCTCCTCTGACATACTAGCTAAGGAATTTAATATTTTTAAATGCTTGAAAAAAAAGATCAAAAGAATACTACTTAGTGATTTGTAGAAGTTATATGAAATTAAAAATTCAGTGTCAGTGAATAAAGTTTTGTTGGAACACTGGCCCTCTATTTGTTTTCATACGATGTATGGTGCTTTTATGTTACTATGGGCAGAGTTGAGTAGTTGGGGAAGATCAAAGAGCCCATAAAGCTTAAAGTATTTATTATCTGTCCATTTATAGAGGACGTTTGCTGATGTTTGATTTTAAACAATGGAGTAATTTCCACAAGGTTAGTCGTCAAACTACTGAGGACCAGAATGGTCTGAAAAAGTTTATAATGCTTCTAGAAAGGGCCAGCCCCCCTCACCTCCAAGAAGAGCTGCCACATGGGGGAAATGTAACTCCAGGCTTGCAAAAGCCTTCATTCTACTGTTTAGACCTTCGTCTCATGCATCACTGGAGCACCCTGTTTAATAGGAGGGCTTTGCAGTTCAGAACAAAACTTCACTACACTTCTCTGTCTTACAGCATAGATGTGCTGCAGGGGGCACTGTATCTTGTAGACAAAGTCAAGGAGTATAAGACACAGGTGTCATTCTGAGTATCATCTTTAATTCAAAGACTTCATTTTAAAGCCTTATGCGAATCCTATTCTTTGTGTCCCTTTGTCAGACATTTCAACCCAATCATGATTCTCCTGGAAAACAGCCTGTAAATCATGCACATATTGTATTGTTCAGATTTGGAGTTTCTATCTTAGCAATTCGCTATACTAAGCACATTTCTAAGGCTCACAAATCTGCCTAGGAACAGTTGTGTGACAAGAAAAACGGTACCAGAATATTGTCATTAAGACACACTCACACACACACACACAATTTGCATAATCAAGATTTTTGCAAAGCATGTGCCAACATTTGCAATTACTCCCAGCCTTGAATTAATGGAGTTGCCCTAAAATACAAAGTGTAAGCATATTTTAGTGATTCTTTTAAAGGACTTGCTATGACAGATTCTTGCAGAAAACAACCAGAAACAAATAAGGAAGCCTACAGACAGGGGAACAATTGCGTGCTGAACCATGGCATTAGGCCAACAATCTTGGTGTTTGTTCAGTCAACATCAATGGATAAACACAGAGAAAACACCAATCTCCAGGGCAATCACTCAGAGAATGACAGCTTAACAGTGAATTTAGCTGTAATAACCTCATGGAACAATAACACTTCCATTGACATCCGCCCTTAAGAATGCATTTAGATATTATACAGTACTAATAGTGTGCCCAGAGCGTAATGGGAATGTGTAAAAGAAACAATCCTAGCTGAATGGCAGTTGGAAAGGCGAGCTTGGTTTTTAGAGAACTCTAACAACTCTTAAGGTTACACATGGCAATTTTCACACACTGATATTCTCACAATTAAAAGAAAAGTAATATTTAAATGATTTTCACGGCTTCCAATTTTGGCAGTACGTGGGCACAAAGCACTGAGACTTTGTGAATTAGCGGTGTGATTTTTCTGTGCTGGCCTTGAGCATATTGTTTGAGGCACCAGGGGAGTTTGGCTGCTTGAAATACTGGGGAAAAAAGAAAGAAAGAGAGAGAAAGAGAGACAGAGAGAGAGAGAAGAGAGAGAGAGGAAGGTAGAGAGAGACAGAGAGACAGAGATACACAGAGACACACAGAGACACAGATGGAATAAAATTCTCTAAGAGGTTTGGATTTTTTTTTTCTGTGCTAGAATGTGGTGGAAAAAATACTGGGCCAGTTGGCACACCTCTGACCCCAGTCCTGCTCTGGGACTGACTGGCTCCAAGGAAATCATTTAATCTCTGGGGGCTGGCCTCTCACTCATCAGATGTTGGTGCACAAGGAGAGTCTAGATATTGAATAGTCTCGGAGCTCTGGTTCTCAAAGTGAGGCCTAGTATATCTGTTCTGGAATAATCTCTGTTCTTTGTTACTAAATGCAGATTCTTAGCCACACATACAGCCATGTTGAATCTGTTCTATTTATATATTTTTCTTTTTGGTGTTGGTGATAGAATCAAGGACTGCACAAATTCTAGGCCAGTGCGCTAACATTGAGCTATACTCCTGACCCCTGAATATGTATATGTGTATGCATATATTTGCAAATATGTATGTATGTATGTTTGTATGTATGTATGTGCTTTTGCCTGTACTAGGGCTTGAACTCAGGGCCTTGAGCTCTTGGTTAGCTTGACTGCTCATAGATGGTAGACACCATTTAAATCACACCTCTACTCTGACATTTTACTGGTTAATTGGAGGTGGAGTTTCACAGCTTTTTCTGCTCAGGCTGGCTTTGAACTGTAACCCTCCAAGTATCAGTCCCCTGAATCGTTAGGATTATAGGTGTCAGCCCCTGATACTCTCCCTCTGTATTTTTTTCCCAATGTGTCCCAGGTTATCCAAGAACAAAGTTTTGCCTGACATTGTAGAGAGCAGAGATCTCAGACTTCAGAGAAAGACAGACCAGTTTTAATCTTTGACTTTAGGAAGCCATTTTATTTTCCAATTGGATCTGATTTATTTATGGTTAAATTTATAGCTTATATGCAAACATATATAATATGTATCTTACATATTATATTCAT